TCCTTAAATACCTTCCTATATACCTTCTTTGTTACAGATTAATCCACAAAACACTAGAGCTCTGGTTTAAATTATACGAAACGTTTGTAACAAGTTTGCAAAAAATGTATTTTTTTAATTTTGTAATTAATAAACTCATTTGGTGCTAAAGTCGTCAGCAGCCAGTCTGTACATAACATTATAAAAAATAGTATGTTGTTTTGTTACTTTCTAATTAACAATATTTCATCAACTATACTTAATTATTATTAATAAAAAAACAAAAATGAGACGTTACTGCTACAGGTCAAAAGGAAATATTTAATGACGAAAGTCACGCTAATAAAAATAATGACCGAATACAAAAAAAAGACAGTTTTTCCAAATGTCATTTCAAAACATCTTTAATTATTACCTGCTGATTGATAATTCCTAATGATTTTTTAATTATTAAACCAGTATTACTATTCGTGCTTATTTGTATTATTTGTCCTATTGTATTGTATAAAATAGAAAAACTTAAATGCACGAATCAATGTCATTATTCCAATCAAAATACGTCAATCTATGAATTTTTTGTTATTTTCAACTATGTCCCACAAGAATTTATAAATTTAAACCTTGTTTTGGCCCCTCAAATAAAGCATTTTACAATTTCAAATACAATTCCATGCAGCAAGTATGTACATATTATATGTGAATTTATAAGGAACTGTTCGCTTTTTAACCCCTAAATACGATTGCATAAGTAGACGAAATTTCAAATGATTCTATGTGAAATTGATTTTCTCCTAGGAAAACTAAACTAAATGGGCATTTTCCGACAAAAAGTCCACAAAATATTAGCAGAAAAAGATCTAAAGCTTGATTCTGACGATTGCGAGCCATGTCTTCCACAAAGTGAATAATTATTCTAATTTAGAACAACAAAATCTGAAAAATTAATGTCTTTACTACAGTCATGGAACTTATAAAATGTGTATCGCACAATCGTAACTGAAAGTCGGCGCTTATGTTAATATTTCTTTATTTTTATTTTACATCGATCTAAAAAATTGGCATATAGATAAATCATTGGAACACTCACAAATATTTAAAAAATAGCGTCATATTTAGTTTTAAAATGAATGATTTAGGAGCATTCTGTCTTAATTATAAATCCAGGTGTGAATGAAAAAACTCGAAACAGACACTTTTTTGTAATAATAATTAATTTGCAATACCTTCGACTCTGATTAATATTGTTTTGTGTGGACATCAGAAGTAGGAAGCGTTCGATATCTCGTGTTACAAGCGAATGATGAGGATACCAAGGATAGAGAAGGTTAAAAATGAGGAGATACTAGAAAGAGTAGGAGAACAGAGGGCGCTATGTCAATAGAAAATAGGCGAGATAGGTTGGTAGGATACCTTCTCAGACATGAAGG